ATACTCGTCGTATAAGACTACCCCCCCTTCCGAGGCTTCATATTTCCATCTTCTTGCTGGAGCCATGATGGGGTCTTATCTACCAGCCATTTTGTTTAAATACACCCATGGATGTGCGGTAATACTGTATGTACGGTAGCTTCGGCTACATACAGTATACCGCGCTGAGCCAATCATGGCGAGCGATGTATTCTATTAATGAATACAAAGCCTGCTCGGATTGGCAGAGGTTATGTACATCGCTCGCCGTGATTGGTTCAGCGCGGTATACTGTATGTAGCCGAAGCTACCGTACATACAGTATTACCGCACATCCAGCGGGCTGACAGATTAGGGACGTTCGTTTTTGGCCAGCTTGGCCCAAACGAACTAAAGGTTCACATTGTATACCCCGCGTATAAGACGACCCCCGATTTTCAGGGGATGTTTTTAAGTAAATTATACAGTATTTCCACTTTCACTTGGTTAGGATTTCAATTCCAGCTCATTGGAAGGTTGTTGAAATTGCCGAAATGTTGCTACATACTGAATATGGCCAGCCTACAGATTTTTATTGTCACGGTGCTATTTCTGGCCGACCAAGGTTGCAATTTACGAATCAAAATGGGATTGTTACAGAAAATCAGCCTTTATCACGGTAATGGTCATTTGATTTCATAAATCTCCCTCTGGTCTGCATATACCAAAGTGAAACATTTTTTGACTCAATAAAATGGAACGGACTCCAGCTGAGGAGTCCATGTTGTCATAAATACATTAGAAGCCCATTTTACAAAAGCCCGGATTGCCATATTGCTAGTCTGAGCCTGATATTGATAAAGAAAATCTTGGATAACATTAAAAAAAATATATTTTTTAATGTCTGTATTAATTCCTTTAGGAAAATGACACCGAAAACCAACCCGAGGCCAATATGTACAAGGTGAAATGGTGCATGGCAGGGAGATAGCGATCGCATCTAATATTTCCACATTTTTTCCACTTTCACTGAGTCTCGCTGTTTGAACTGGAGAACAGAGCAATAACTCACAGTTAACGAGGCAGTCCCTACTTTCTATGTGAGAGATCCGTTGTAGGACTTGAAAGAAATGTCTGTGAAGTGTCAGTGTGCGATGTCAGACAGCTAAAGACTTTGCATCATCCTTTTCAACATGGCAAGCTTTATTGCACTATATTGTTTTTGGGGTTTTTTTTTAGCACACAATTACGAAAGTTACAAGGAGAGCAAATGACAAAGTCAACAATCATATTTGTCACAGTGCTAAATATAGACAAGATAGCTGGGTAATGGTGGTGTAACAGGAAGGTACATCTATGACATTTAATACATTTTTATATTATAGCTGAAATGTAAGAGGCATGGGTAAACTTACTTGTACCTTGAGCTTCTAGAAAGTTTTGGCTTTGGATGCACTCGTACTCGCCCAAATGCTCCAATACTTGCCCCCGATCCTGGAACTTCCGGCCAGAGGGAGATTTCCTCTTACCTGCAGAGCCACGAGGGAACATGGAGCTGGCTTCCCGGCCAATAAGGAAGCTGGGTGGTTGGTAATGGCTCACCGCCCGGCTTGCTGATTGGCCGGGAAGACGGCCAAGCATCGAGATGGTTTCCCGGCCAATCAGGAAGCCGACTCCATGCTTGCGGAAGTATCGGTACTCCGTATCGGCGAGTACAGAACGAAAAATATCGGTATTCGTACTCGATACCGAAAAACTGGTATCGGTGCATGCCTAGTTTGCTACATCTGCTATTCAGCGATGTGCCCACTATGAGGAGGGTCCCGGAAAGAATCTGCCCTTTTCTATGGAAAACAAATGGAAGCTACCAGCTCTAATGACTTTGTTCTTTGGCAGGGGGCTTACTGCCCATCATCAGAAAGAAGAATGAAGTCACCAGCACACCTGTTTACAACTTATTGATCTGTCTTTATTGACGTCAGATAATCATGCAATCACAGCGAAATGCTTTGGTGACTTCATTCTTCTTTCGTTCGGCACCATCCGCTGGTTACTGCAGCACCCACCAAAGGAACTCTGGGCAAAATATTGGTGAGGAGTGCAATGGGACATCCATGAGACTTCCTCATCGTCAGAGACCAGCTTCTCAAAAAGTAAACTTTCAGAAGAAAATCTAAGGTTCAGTGGACCATCTTGACAAAGAATTGACTTTCCTAGCCATGAATGTCATAAATCAATAAGTGCATATGATATCTGACTCTGCTGATATGTTTCAAACATCCTATATGAATATATTATTCTAAGTTAAATGTTATGGATATATAGGGTTGCCACCTTTTCTTCCAGCGAAACCCGAACACTCTAGCGACACACGGAAATTTTTAGGGGAGAATGAGTCGTGGCTTACTAATATTTAAATAACGCCGCCCATTCATATGTAAATATCACAGTTCAAACTATTTTCAGTGGGGGGACCAGAAGCCCCTATCTTAATGTTGGTTGCCCCTGTCTGCCTGACATCTTGTGTGTCCAGGTTTCAGCTGCCATGACACCCTGACACAGCATTCAAAACCCGAACTGTCCGGGTGAATCCTGGACAGGTGGCAACCCTATGGATGTAAATGATCATGTATGGCCAAATGAAGCACTGGACAGATCACCCTAAAATTGTACAACTGCAGAATAAATAACTGCCATACATGATTTTATTATTCCAGTAAAGCATTTTGTTGAACCTTTGTGGATTCCTCTGGAACACGGCCATGTGTATAGCCGGCGTTTATCACAGGTTCTGTCGCCTACCCCTTGGCCTTCTATACTGTCTACTTCCCTCCAGGCACTTCCACAAATAAACATCTCTGATCCCTAATCCCTTGCCATTGTCTGTGTCTACAATGGTCGGGGCACAGGTTATCTACAGAATGTAACTCGATCAGGCTGATGTGTGGTCTCCTAATGTGGCTGTTACTCTTGTCCTGTCTATTTTGAGTGTCACGAATGTATCACAGGAACAAATGTATTACTTATTAAAAAAAAAAACACACTTGGATTCACTTCCACAACTGAGGAGTTTGTGCTTTGTCTCATAGTGTTGGCTGTCCACCCGTCATTTATCACACAGGGCCCTTTGTTGGCTCGGGGTGCAGGCTTGTGGGTGCGCAATCTCATTGGATGTTTAGAGAAGGGTTTTAACCTCTCTTGTTTTGTTTTTTGTTGTGTGTCCCAATGGGGAGATTTCACTTCACTCCCTGTTACAATGTCAGGAGAAAGAGAGAGAAACCTCTAGGCTAGGTTCACACCTAGGCGACACCTCACCGCGCGTCCTGGGTGTCGTGCGGTGTAGTGCAGGTGTGAACGTAGCCTTAGGCTAGGTTCCCACCTCAGCAACACCCAGGACGTGCGATCGTGTGCTAGTGCACACAACAGTTGCCGCGCGGCCCCATTGATTTCAATGGTGTGACATCCGTGTGGCAATCGATAAATAAAAAAGGTAAAAGTACCTTTTTTTTACGACGCGCTACTTTTTTAGCCGCTATCGGGAAACTGCACGATCCACCTGGCGCGACTGGGTTGCCATTAGCAAATAGTGGCATCCACAGCACGATCAGGAGTCGTCCAGGTGTAAACCTAGCCTTACAGGGTGAGGGGAATTCCCCTCCTTAGACCATTGCCACTAGAATAGGAAGATTTACCCTTACTTCCTCTCGGTGACCACCGTAACAATTTGGATTATCTATCACTTTATGTCCCAGTGCCAATGGGACATAAAGAGCAGTTAATAGCCTGACAGGGGTTCCAATGCTTCCCCATTCTATGCAAAATTGAAAAAAGCGTAACCTATATATACATTGTAAGAATACATTGTATGCTCATGGATACCTTTTATTTGGAAAACCCACATTTCCTCTACATGTGTATGAATTTAGATAATTTGCTGGACTTGCACTTTCCAGGGGAGTAACATGCAAAGTTAATGTGAAATGTCTGTTAAAGCTGAAGTTTAGTCTGCTTATATTTTACCTTCCCTGCCCCCCCCCCCCTTCCTCATCAACATGCTAATGACATTTTTAAGTAAAACCTTTCTAATTGCATACATTGTTTTAGACCCAATTACATCATCACTGGTCCGTATGTAATGCAGGTAGATCCAGTAATGTCATCAGTGGCCCTCTACGCTTTTTTATGCAATGCAGGCAGATCATGACTGGTGAGAGGGACTGGCAGAGTGCTGTGATGTTTTCAGGAATCCATGTACAGCACCCTGCCAGTCCCTCTCACCAGTCATGATCTGCCTGCATTGCAAAGAGAAGCACAGTACTCCTTTTCAAGAGCCTTCAGTCCTGATACAAGTAGTGGGTTGATTCTTTTTGGAAGATATTGCTAGGCAGCCTGCTATTGTACACAGAGCATCCTAGATAGGGCCCACATGTGATGCCGAGTCTCCATGATTGAAGGAACTGAATTCCAATGAATGAATGGGGCAGACCAGGGACATTAAAGCTGGGAAGGAAAGGGATAGATGATGCCTTACAGCCTTCAACTGGGAAATGAGGTGGGCTCTGTCTGACTTGCTGCAGCTTCTAATGCACATTGCGAGAAGCTCACAGATATCAGAGTAACCAGAGCAGGTACAACTGTGCAAGACTGAAGGGAAAGCCAGAGTTCAGATTGAAGGTTTGTTTTATATTGGTTGTGATTCCATAAAACCATCTTTAAACCTTTTCCCAGGCTTTTAAGCCATAGAGCATTCCTTGAATTGAGCAGCACAGAGGTGTTCCTGAGCGAGCTCACAACAGACCTGTCACTCTATCCGCTGACAAGTATTAACCTGTTACCAAAAAGGAAAAAGCCTCAGGAAATTTTTCGAATGACTCCAAAGCCAGCAAGTCCTTTAAGACTCCTGTAACTAGACACCTTGAATCCTAAAATGCAGCTGATGCCTCTATCCGTCTTACCTGTGTGATGCTTCAGTCCCTCTTACCTGTGTTTTTTTTTCTTCTTCTTCTCCCCTCTCTCTCCTCCCCCTATTCCACCGTCTGCAGTCTCAGTTCAATCTGCTGAACAACACCATGGATCAGAGCATTGGTAGCCGAGCAGCGTCCACCAGTCCGTACAACCCGGAGCACAACTCGAATGTCCCCACGCATTCTCCCTATTCGCAGCCCAGCTCGACCTTTGACGCCATGTCACCCGCACCGGTCATCCCCTCCAACACAGACTACCCAGGACAACACAACTTCGAGGTCACGTTCCAGCAATCCAGCACTGCAAAATCAGCCACATGGACCGTAAGTCACTTCTTATGTTCTTCTCTAAAATGTTTTGTCTATGCATTGACATTTGGGGTGGTCTGGATATTGGAGATGGAGCCGTAGCATTTCATGTGTGTCATTTTGGGGATGTAGGGATAAGCTCTGGTTTTGCTCCGAAGTTCTTCTTCTAAAACTTTGTAAACAAGACTTGACGGGCTGAGTCAATGCTGGACTCATCCTTGAAGTGAGTAAAGCTGGCCATGCACTGGTAGAACTTCATTCCAACCTTCGTTCTAAAATTGTTTATCTTGTCATCACTGAGTTTACCCAAGTCCCTAAAATTTCATCCAGAATTGCTACTTGAATGGAAGTGGTACTAAACAGGTTTCTCTTGTGCTGAGCACATGCACATTACAATACGTACATTTCCCCCTGAATGGCAATCACATTCATGGTTAGAATTTCCTTTCCTTGGATAAGAAACAAGAAAAATTTGTATCCTGTGCCTTCCATTTTCCATCGATTTGACCCCAATGACCATTACAAAATTAAACGAATGTTCCAAAAATGAAAATTTAAATGGTGCATGGCCAGCTATAGCCACAGTAGTTGAAGGCCATCAAGGTCAGTTTGTAGGTGGCCAGCATGACCTCTATATGGCTTCTATTGAATAGCAATCTACGGATGTGCAAAGATAAAACTAACCAGCCAGGTTCTTCTTTTGGAAAGAACGTCTGTAGCAATATAACAGTCTTAGGGCCTGTTCACATGAGTTTCAGGTCCTGATCAGGCCCGGATCAGGTGCGGATCTGCAGACGCGGTGCTATGTGTTTTTGATGCGTTCCAGTAAAAAAAAAAATTGTGCAGGCCCTTAAGCATCATAATTTGGTATAAGGAAGACAAAACGTAGCAGCATGAGGGCAATCTGTGACTATGGCTGGACATTGCAGATACAAGAAGGTCGTGGAGACATGAAGGGTTGAGGTGGTGGGACTGTCCTGCAGAACGAGGGGCACTTGGAATCTAAATATCTCTTGAAAAGGTCAGTGCAGGGAGGAAAGGTAAGCTACAGAGGAGCTGATGTATGGAAAGGGCATTAGGAAAATTTCTTGTTGCTTATAACAACTCCTCAGGATCCTCTTTTTTCATTTTCTTGCTTGGGCTGTAAAAATAACAATTGGAAGCTGATTAGTTGTTACCGACAACTAGAATTCTCTAATAGCGTAGTTTCTTTATGTCATTGGCTCCAGTGTGTTTTCTGTGAAAATTTTGAGTTCTTATGAAGTTGGAAATCACTTTTGTCTGCTACATTTTACCTGTGCCGTATTTTTATAATGGCATTGCATGTAGAGATCATTGGGTTTTCTGTCTGGTCCCTATCTTTATTTCAGATGCTGCACTTGACCCGTGTGTTGAATGATTGCTGAGATAAGGAAAACAGCTTCATGGCTGGTCACTGACAGATCGTTTTTATTCATGCTGAGCAGACTATATAGGCATGGGATTGGGAAAGAGTAAAGCACAATTACCATACAGGTGTACTAAGGAAAGGGCATCACATGTATAGGAAATGAGCAGATATAAATGTGCGGTTTTTTTAATGACTGAATTAAAGAATAAAAGCAGAGGCAATCTTCTTTTTATGCATTGAATTGGACCTTTCAGTATCTTTACAAGTCTGTGAGAATAAATATACAGCAACAGTATTTATATCTTTTATCATTGCACAACAGTTCTTGGGATCCAGTCCAATGACTTTGCCTTGGCTGACTCTGCTGAAGGCAGGAGGAAGCATTTCCTAATTCTCCTCTCTCTCGGTGATCAGTCTGCAACACTACCTTTGTAGTAAGTCACAAGGTTAGAGGCTGCAGCAGGAGGCAATCTGATCACCTGCTTCTCCCATCACAGGTCAGTGAGTGCCCGCTTCTCCCATCACAGGCCAGTGAGTGCCCGCTCCTCCAGTCACAGGCTAGTGAGTGCCCGCTCCTCCAGTCACAGGCTAGTGAGTGCCCGCTCCTCCAGTCACAGGCTAGTGAGTGCCCGCTCCTCCAGTCACAGGCTAGTGAGTGCCCGCTCCTCCAGTCACAGGCTAGTGAGTGCCCGCTCCTCCAGTCACAGGCTAGTGAGTGCCCGCTCCTCCAGTCACAGGCTAGTGAGTGCCCGCTCCTCCAGTCACAGGCTAGTGAGTGCCCGCTCCTCCAGTCACAGGCTAGTGAGTGCCCGCTCCTCCAGTCACAGGCTAGTGAGTGCCCGCTCCTCCAGTCACAGGCTAGTGAGTGCCCGCTCCTCCAGTCACAGGCTAGTGAGTGCCCGCTCCTCCAGTCACAGGCTAGTGAGTGCCCGCTCCTCCAGTCACAGGCTAGTGAGTGCCCGCTCCTCCAGTCACAGGCTAGTGAGTGCCCGCTCCTCCAGTCACAGGCTAGTGAGTGCCCGCTCCTCCAGTCACAGGCTAGTGAGTGCCCGCTCCTCCAGTCACAGGCTAGTGAGTGCCCGCTCCTCCAGTCACAGGCTAGTGAGTGCCCGCTCCTCCAGTCACAGGCTAGTGAGTGCCCGCTCCTCCAGTCACAGGCTAGTGAGTGCCCGCTCCTCCAGTCACAGGCTAGTGAGTGCCCGCTCCTCCAGTCACAGGCTAGTGAGTGCCCGCTCCTCCAGTCACAGGCTAGTGAGTGCCCGCTCCTCCAGTCACAGGCTAGTGAGTGCCCGCTCCTCCAGTCACAGGCTAGTGAGTGCCCGCTCCTCCAGTCACAGGCTAGTGAGTGCCCGCTCCTCCAGTCACAGGCTAGTGAGTGCCCGCTCCTCCAGTCACAGGCTAGTGAGTGCCCGCTCCTCCAGTCACAGGCTAGTGAGTGCCCGCTCCTCCAGTCACAGGCTAGTGAGTGCCCGCTCCTCCAGTCACAGGCTAGTGAGTGCCCGCTCCTCCAGTCACAGGCTAGTGAGTGCCCGCTCCTCCAGTCACAGGCTAGTGAGTGCCCGCTCCTCCAGTCACAGGCTAGTGAGTGCCCGCTCCTCCAGTCACAGGCTAGTGAGTGCCCGCTCCTCCAGTCACAGGCTAGTGAGTGCCCGCTCCTCCAGTCACAGGCTAGTGAGTGCCCGCTCCTCCAGTCACAGGCTAGTGAGTGCCCGCTCCTCCAGTCACAGGCTAGTGAGTGCCCGCTCCTCCAGTCACAGGCTAGTGAGTGCCCGCTCCTCCAGTCACAGGCTAGTGAGTGCCCGCTCCTCCAGTCACAGGCTAGTGAGTGCCCGCTCCTCCAGTCACAGGCTAGTGAGTGCCCGCTCCTCCAGTCACAGGCTAGTGAGTGCCCGCTCCTCCAGTCACAGGCTAGTGAGTGCCCGCTCCTCCAGTCACAGGCTAGTGAGTGCCCGCTCCTCCAGTCACAGGCTAGTGAGTGCCCGCTCCTCCAGTCACAGGCTAGTGAGTGCCCGCTCCTCCAGTCACAGGCTAGTGAGTGCCCGCTCCTCCAGTCACAGGCTAGTGAGTGCCCGCTCCTCCAGTCACAGGCTAGTGAGTGCCCGCTCCTCCAGTCACAGGCTAGTGAGTGCCCGCTCCTCCAGTCACAGGCTAGTGAGTGCCCGCTCCTCCAGTCACAGGCTAGTGAGTGCCCGCTCCTCCAGTCACAGGCTAGTGAGTGCCCGCTCCTCCAGTCACAGGCTAGTGAGTGCCCGCTCCTCCAGTCACAGGCTAGTGAGTGCCCGCTCCTCCAGTCACAGGCTAGTGAGTGCCCGCTCCTCCAGTCACAGGCTAGTGAGTGCCCGCTCCTCCAGTCACAGGCTAGTGAGTGCCCGCTCCTCCAGTCACAGGCTAGTGAGTGCCCGCTCCTCCAGTCACAGGCTAGTGAGTGCCCGCTCCTCCAGTCACAGGCTAGTGAGTGCCCGCTCCTCCAGTCACAGGCTAGTGAGTGCCCGCTCCTCCAGTCACAGGCTAGTGAGTGCCCGCTCCTCCAGTCACAGGCTAGTGAGTGCCCGCTCCTCCAGTCACAGGCTAGTGAGTGCCCGCTCCTCCAGTCACAGGCTAGTGAGTGCCCGCTCCTCCAGTCACAGGCTAGTGAGTGCCCGCTCCTCCAGTCACAGGCTAGTGAGTGCCCGCTCCTCCAGTCACAGGCTAGTGAGTGCCCGCTCCTCCAGTCACAGGCTAGTGAGTGCCCGCTCCTCCAGTCACAGGCTAGTGAGTGCCCGCTCCTCCAGTCACAGGCTAGTGAGTGCCCGCTCCTCCAGTCACAGACCAGTGAGTGCCTGCTCCTCCAGTTTAATATATCAACTCACCCTAAAATCCATGGGGTCACACTGGGTTTTTATTGTACCCCTCTCACCCTGCATGTTGTACAAATCTCTCTGGATGCTTCTAATTCCCCATAAAACCCAACCGGGTTCTCTTCATTGCATAGTTGACAGCTGTCCCATATTTGTTGATGAACTGGCTGAAAAACATTCAGTGGGGGATCCCTGTCGGCACCCTTTGCTTCGGCATCCTTCAATCATAAAATCAAAGGAACTGGTCGGAAAATATTTGGGCAGACAGTGATGGCGGCCAATCAGCTGCTGTCACTGTTCATGTATTCTGACAGTGCTGTCAGAATATAACACGCCAGCAGAAGATTCGTCCATCCATGCTGTTCCTTGTGAATAGAGGAGTCCATTATCATTTTTTTTCCCCTTAAGCCGGCAGGTTGAATGATAAAAACATAACCATGTATGGCCAGCTTGTGTTGGAGGAACTGTCTGTGTTGTTCAGGATAACCAATCGGATTGTCTCTGAGATGGAACACTTTTGGCTTTATTCAGACATTAGGCTTGTAGAGCTTTCTCTTCTATTGTTCTCACTCCAACCACACATCTTCCACAAAGCAATTGGGCTTTCACAGTGTACACAGGGCAACCTCTCGGTTTGTTTTCCTCCGTTCAGGAGAACATGTACTCACTCCATTCATTCCTGTTTACTTGCCCCAGGCACGGGTGACTTGACATGGAGTAATTCCCACTTCAAAGGCCCGTGACATCATAAAACATTCCTGGAGGATGCTGTGACTTCCATTAGCTAG